GCTTGTGTATTTCGTCGTCTGATAAATCTATAATATTGTTGAGGTATATTGATGACATAAAATTTTTCCCGGCTTCTCTGTCTTTTTCTTGGCGTGCAGTCAGAATTTTAAGTAATTTGTTACGGATTTCCACTTCGTCCTAAAGATTAAATATACGTGAGCTGAACATAGCTATTATACACAAAGGGAGTAAGTACCAAAATACCTGTGAAAGCCCCCTAATTTCTTCTTCACCTTGTTCTTCATTAGTTGATTCCGCCTCGCTCTCTCCCGAGTCACTACATTCATAATATTCAGAATCGTTCCTACCAATATAAAGAAACAATGAGCCCAATGAACAGGATGGAAATAATGTTGTATTATTATTCTTACTCAGGTAACTTGCATCGTTTTTTTGTATTTACTATGTCCTCAGGTTTTCGCTTCAGTGAATTCAAAATTATTTTCGTCTTTTCTGCGCGTGCTGTTTCTAAGAGATTTAATGCATCCACTTCTGTATTATGGCGGACTGAATCCTAGGGGTTTGCGGTAAAAATGTTAGAACACGTAATATATTATATGCAGGGGATAGTACACACCGTCTTGTTCTCCACCTCCCGCCTTCTACGTAAATTATCTTTTTCTTTTTCAATATTGTCCCAGAAGAGATCTGCAGATATTGAGCCCTAAAAAGATGTAATAAGAATAAAGAGCTAATAATTTGGTCCATGCGAAACACAAACTATAATTTGGAATACAACTCAAACAGTCAGGTGTCATATGGAGGGAACGGAACCGTCAAACCTCAGGAGGGAGCATAACCGTCCTTTGGCTATATGACACCAACAGTAACTACACGGAGGGGGCGGAACCGTCATACCTCAGGAGGGAGCGTAACCGTCCTTTGGCTGTGTAGAACTATCTTGACTGTCATAAAAAAATATATACTAAATACCTTTTCTTTCAAAAGAATTGCGTTCTTTCTCTGCTGTTCAGTATACGCGTCGTCATCTGCAATCTTTTCTAAACGTTTTATAAATCTCTTCCTCCATGTAGCTTTTTCATCTCGTTTTGCGATATCTAATACCGACATAATAACGGGTTTAAATGACTCTAAAAAAAGAATATATGACCATTCTTCAACGGGTGTTTCATCAAAGAAGTCTCTAATTGCTTTATACAGAAGCTGAAGATCTGTCATTTTGAGGCTGAGAACCAGAGAGAAAATTTTGATCGCTGATTATCACGATTGATGTATCACAAGTAAAGTGACCCGCTATTTGGTACTACTAATAATGGGAATTATCTTTCTTTTTTTCCTCGCCTTAATTTACCTAACAAGATTCGTATTCGGATCCGTAACTTCTTGCCGATGCTTACCCTCAACAGAGAAATCAATTAGCGTAATAATCAAATCAAAATTTTAACGACGGCCCGTCGTCGAAATCACATGATCATTCCTACATATATCTTTTCCTAACAAGAAAATTATTTCGGAAAAATAAACACGTGATTTGGGCGAACATTTTTGACGATTTGTTCGCTGAAATTTGCCAGGAAAAAATAATATATACATTACACAAAAAATAACACATGATACTTTGTACGTTCCTCTAACCAAAAATCTTTATTAATAAAATATGTGATAATAATACAGGATAAAATTATATGATAAAAATACAGGA